AGTAGTGACAGATGGCAGAACAAGGAGCAATGGTCTCAGGTTGTGGTGGGAGAGGTCCAGGTTGGATATTAGGAAAAACTATTTCCCTAGGAGGGTGGTGAAGCACTGGGATGGGTTACCTAGGGAAGTAGTGGAGTCTCCATCCCTAGAGGTGTTTGAGTCTCGGCTTGACAAAGCCCTGGCCGGGTTGATTTAGTTGGGATTGGTCTTGCCTGGAGCAGGGGGCTGGACTTGATGACCTCATGAGGTCTCTTCCAGCTCTATGATTCTCTGTTACTTTAAATCAGGATTGGGTGCCTATTTAAGACAGGTTCTAACTCAGCCAGAAGGCATGGGCATGATGCAGGAATTACTAGGTGAGTTCCTATGGCCTGTGTTCTGCAGGAAGTCAGGTTAGATTATCACAGTGTTTTTTTCTGGTCTTAAAATCTGTGAATTGCCAGCTGTCAAGACTGCCAAGGTAGCTATTGCAAGATGTAAGTTTGTCTAATCAAAGGCAGTATCTTGAGTCCCGTTTCAAAGCCAGCAACACTGTACTGATCTTCCCATTTTGATCAGTGTTCTGAAATTTTCTTTGAAATTTTTCTCCCTCACTTTCTCCTTTTTGCTGCTGAGAACAAGAATATGAATGATTTTTCTCTGCCTTTGGCATAAGTAAAAATGAAAGTGCACATGGGGAAAATCTTAGCCATTGGTCAAGAATATTTTTGGACACAAAATGGAAAATTACAAATAAATATAAAAAAGCTTTTCCTTTCAAAGGCTTTTTTCTTCTTTTTATACAAAATGCTGTGAACAAATGTTGACCAGCTCCCTTTATTAAGGACAAGATGCAGGATTGTGTGGAATTGTTTGAGGAAGCCCAGATGTCTCAGCATACCCCCAAAGAGTTCATTGATGTCTCAGATACCACCATACTAGGACTCTGAACATGCTTGGGTTCCTTAGGAAACACACTTAGCTCAAGTATCCGAGGGGTAGCCGTGTTAGTCTGAATCTGCAAAAGCGACGAGGAGTCCTGTGGCACCTTATAGACCAGTGTTTCTTAAACTGTTCCGCAGTACACTGGTGTGCTGTGGAAAACAGAATTCAAAATGGCCACCCTTAAAGGGGCAGGCAACCTTTTTTTCTCAATAACTTTCCCCTTGACCCTTTTTTCCCCCAGTCTTTTTTTGGTGTTCCTCATTAAAAAAAACTTTTTTTGGTGTAAAGGGCCTCTCTCCTTCAAGGATTGAGCTCATGACCTTGGGTTTAACAGGCCAATGCTCAAACCACTGAGCTACCTTTCACCCTGAAGATGGAGACTTTGATTCTACTTAAGATCCATCATGGCAGGCTTCTTTATTCTGAATCTGCAACCATGCCCCCTCACCGCAGGGCCATAACACTCCGTCTATCTGCAGCAGCTGTTTGCAGTCAGATCACAGCACTAGATCAGCAAGGAGTCAGCTAGGCTATGTCTACACTGGTGCAATCTTGCGCAGTAGATATGCAAATGAGGCTAAGCATGGAATATTGCTGAGCCTCATTTACATACCTAATGAGCTGCCATTTTTGCAGAAGAGGCTCTTGCACTAGAAGGAGCTGTCTACACTGCCTCTTCTTGCACAAGAAAAACCCTCTTGCGCAATGCCGCTACGCTGATTATTTTCAGGAATAATGGCATTGCGCAAAAGGGTTTTTCTTGTGCAAGAAGGGGTAGTGTAGACAGCTCCTTCTGGCACAAGAGGCTCTTCTGCAAAATGGCGGCTCATTAGGTATGCAAATGAGGCTCAGCAATATTCCATACTTAGCCTCATTTGCATATTGCTCGTGCAAGAAGCCGCAAGTGTAGACATAGTCTATAAAGCGAACACATTGGTGCTTCGTCAGCTGCCCATGAAAGCTTATGCTTCAAAAAATCTGTTAGTCTACAAGGTGCCACAGGACTCCTCATCACTCTTGGCTCAAACTCTTATCTCTACTACGATACAAGCCAAGGTCATTGTCAGTGCTGTTCCTCACTCTGGCACACCGAGTGCAATGGATGGGGATGGGGAGGGGGAGAGAGGGATAGCTCAGTGGTTTGAGCATTGGCCTACTAAACCCAGGGTTGTGAGT